TTCACACTAATTTTGGAGCAAGGCTCTAAGTACCTACACTGTGGTCTCTTTCCTCCCCTTATCTTCCCCTGAATTTCTCAGAGGACTAAGTTACTTTGTAACCTTTTGAAATATACCTTAAAATTAATTATTAGGAAAAGATGCTGTGAAAAGAAGCATCTTCACGATTTGACTGAGAAACGGATGTGAGAATAGACATAATATCCTTGATATTAAACGCAGAAAAATGCATACAGGAGCAGGTCCAGAAGTGTATCCTCAAAGTGAGAAAGGCCTCATAGGAAAGACTATTTTTACTATCAAAAAATTCCAGTTGTGAAGCCAATTCTTAGACCATAAGGAGTTTGAGAAAATGTTCCCTAATAAGGTAGTCTTCATTATATATGAAAGGACTCTGGCATGGGCAAGACTATCTAAATGCAGTGAATGTCCAGAAACTCTTATCTAAAACAAAAAGCTCTAATGGACATGATACTAGTATCAAAAGGAAGCTCTGTGACTCCCACGAATGTAAGAAATATTTTTAATTTTTTTTTCAAAGATTTTTTGTATTTGAGAGAGAGCATGTGAGAGACAGAGACAGAATGCACAAGCAGAAGGAGAAGCCAACTCTCCGCTGTGCAGGGAGCATGAAGTGGGGATCAAACCCAGGACCCGGGGATCATGACCTGAGCTGAAGGCAGACACTTAACTGACTGAGCCACCCAGGTGTCTCATGAGAAATATTTCTATGTGAAGTCGAAGCTCAAGAAATAGATAATTCACAAAGGAAATTATGTAATTTTCACAAACATATCTTTAGCTAAAAGTCAAAGCGAGTCTCTCAAACATCAGAAATATATATACATATATCTTTCTTTCATTCATTCATTCATTCATCATTAATGGGAGGAGACTAACAATGGCATACATGGAGCAGCCTTTTGCCAGACATCAGTTCTCTTTATATCAGAGCATGCACACATAAGAGAAACCTTTAGAAGGTAATAAAGGTAGAAAACCTTCTGCCAGAATTTACCCTTCAAATTACCCATACAGGAGAGAAATCACATGAATATAACACAGGCAGGGAAATCTTTTCATGAAGTCTTATTAAGCATGAGATAATACACAGTGCGGGGCGGGCGGGGGGGGGTGTCTTATGATATTGAATGTAGAAGTTCTCTCAGAGTCAATCTTGGGTCTACATCAGAGAATTCACTATACCTATAAAGAACATGGGTAACCTTTCTTCCAGAAGAACACCTCTTTGGACATCAAAGAACTGGCTGAAAGAAAACCTTCTGTGTGAAGGCAAATCCTTAATTCAGAATCAGAGAACACACATTAGGGAGATCTATGAAAATAATGAATGATCTGAGAGTGCCTCTAGCAGCGGTCACACTTGCTATATCAGAAAAGTCAAAAAATGAAGCAGTGCTGGGTGTATAATGTGTGGGGAATACCTTCACCCAGACAGAATCACTCACTGTCAGGTGACTGTTATGGAGAGAAACCCTATCAACTCAAAAAATGTGGGAAACCCTTCTGCCAGAAGGCAGGAATCTTTTAGATTAGAAAATCACATAGAAACCCACAGAAAAAAATGCAAGGAAGGCATCATCAAGAAGTTACAACTAACTGAACATTACATAAATAATATTTGAATAGTCTGAAAGCACAAAGATTTTATAAGAAATGAATAACCTGGAGAAAGCGCATCAAGTTAGGAAGTTTGTCAAAAACGCATTCTCTTGCTAATAATCGTATTCTAAGAGTCATTGTTCATAAGTGATTCCAGACCTTGAATACAAAAAAGCAATCCAGTAAACTCCTTTGCAAATCTAACATTTATAAATAAAGATTTTTAGGGCCGCCTGGCTGGCTCAATCAGAAAAGCATGTGACTCTTAATCTCCAGGTCATGAGTTCAAGCCCCACGGGGGGAATAGAGATTACTCAAATAAATAAGACTTTAAAAATAAAAGGTTTTTATTTTTTTTTTATTTTTTTTTAAATTTATTTATGATAGTCACACACACACACAGAGAGAGAGAGAGAGAGAGAGAGAGAGAGAGAGAGAGAGAGAGGCAGAGACACAGGCAGAGGGAGAAGCAGGCTCCATGCACCGGGAGCCCGACATGGGATTCGATCCCGGGTCTCCAGGATCGCACCCTGGGCCAAAGGCAGGCGCCAAACCGCTGCACCACCCAGGGATCCCAAAAGATTTTTAAAAAGAAAGAAAAAGCCACACTGGTCAGAAACCCAGGAGCCAGCTTGAGGAAGCACTCAGTGGCCAAGTCTGTGACAAAGTGAAAACTAAAATAACTATAACTAATAGAATGTAAATTACTAAAAGCATACAGCTCATGGGTCCATGCTGATAATAAATAGAGTGATCAAGAAGGGGAGGTTTCTTGCCTATAGCCAAGGGCTCCCTGGAAGAAGCACCAGGCAGGGTGCTTGTATGGCGCAGCCAGCATCCAACTCTTGGTTTTTGGCTCAGGTCATGATTTCAGGATCTTGTGAAGCCATGTCGGGCTTCATGCTCAGTGGGGAGTCAGCTTGAGATTCTCTCTCCCCCTTCCTCTGCCCCTCCCACTCGTGTGCTCTCTTTCTTTCTCACTCAAGTAAATAAATAAATCTTTTAGGGGGAAAAATAAGGAAGCAGCTCTGGGATTAGAAAAACCATTACTTTACAACTATAATGGCAAAAGCTGGGTCAGACAAGAATCATAGTCACCAAATCTAGGGGGAAATTTTGATGAGAAGCAAAGTATGTGCAACATCTTCAATGTGTCTCCACAGACTGCTTGTTTGTTGCGGAGGAAGAAGAGATAAACAGAATACAATGGAGAACTTGAACAACATCTTGACCAATGATAAAAATTACTATCATCGATGAGAGAGACATGGACATTGTGTGCCTCCAGAAGTGGCATCAGAGAGGGACAGATCACCTAAATGGCATTCTGGCTCAGGATGCTTAACTTTGACCTAATTACAGAGAAACACCAGGCAAACACCAAATAAGGACTATTCTCAAAATAAATAAATAAATAAATAATAATAATAATAATAATAATAATAATAATAATAATAATGGTTAGGCTATTTCCTCAAAAATAACAATGTTATAAAAAGGCAAAAAAGTCTACAAAAATGTTCCAGATTAAAGGATGCTAAGGAGACGTGGCATCAAAGACTAATTCCTGTATTAAATGAGGAACAATGTTACTAAGGACACTATCGGATCAAGTGACAACACTGGAAAATAAACAGTAAATTAGATAAAGATATACTATCAATTTAAGTTTATGAAGTTGGTAAGTGTGCTATGTTTTAGGTTCAGAGCAGCGAGAGGAAGAGGTGGTGATAGGAGGGGCCCAAGGGGTAAGATGTTAACAATAAGTGCACTTGGGTAAAGAGTATACAGTACTCTTTACCGTTCTCAGTACTATTTTTATTTTGCAACTTTTTTTTTTTAAGATTTTATTTATTTATTCATGAGAGACATAGAAAGAGAGAGAGAGAGGCAGAGACCCAGGCAGAGGGAGAAGGAGGCTCCCTGCAGGGAGCCCGATGTGGGACTTGATCCCGGGTCTCCAGGATCAGGCCCTGGGCAGAAGGGAGGCCCTAAACTGCTGAACCACCCGGGCTGTCCTATTTTGCAACTTTCTGTAAGCTTTATTTCCCCCCAAAAAAGGTAATTTTTAAAAAGCCAATCTAGGGATCCCTGGGTGGCACAGCGGTTTGGCGCCTGCCTTTGGCGCAGGGCATGATCCTGGAGACCTGGGATCGAATCCCACGTCAGGCTCCCGGTGCGTGGAGCCTGCTTTTCCCTCTGCCTGTGTCTCTGCCTCTCTCTGTGTGTGTGTGACTATAATAAATTAAAAAAAAAAAAAAAGAATTAAAAATTAAAAATAAAAAGTCAATCTAGCACGTTCTATCTCCAAAAACAACAGCACCCTAAGTTCAGACACATCTTCATGTACAAAAACAAAAACAAAACAAACAAAACTGCTCTAGACCCCAGCTGCTCTGGACCAACTGAAAGACTTTTCTCCCACTCGGGCCTGGCCTCTGCTTCATCAACACTCAAGTTTGTTTTTTTTTTTTTTAATTTTCGTTTATTTATGATAGTCACAGAGAGAGAGAGGCAGAGACACAGGCAGAAGGAGAAGCAGGCTCCATGCACCGGGAGCCCAACGTGGGATTCGATCCCGGGTCTCCAGGATCGCGCCCTGGGCCAAAGGCAGGCGCCAAACCGCTGTGCCACCCAGGGATCCCTTCATCAATACTCAAAGTGCTGTCTCCAAACTCAGCAAACACAGCTTGGTCACCAACTCCAATGGATACTCTTCTGTTAGTACCTACCTGACCTTTCAACACTGACCACATCCTCTTCCTTGGAATAATCTACTTCTCACTTTTGATCAGATACCCTTGATTTTCCTCCTGCCCATCCACCCCCTCTAAATCTTCTGCCATTTCCTAACTCCCTGACTTCTCAAGATCCCATTTCCTAAGGTTTTCATTTCACTCTATCTTGCTAGGTGGTCTCATCCATCTCCTTGGCTTCAAAAACCATCTATATGCCAATGAATCCCAAATTTATTTCTCTGGCCCGCAGCTTTCCTCTGAATTCTCTATTCATGCAGCCCGAGTGCCCTGACATCACTGATCGAAACTTTTCAAACTTAACATACTCAAAAGTGAACTCTGGGTCTCCCCCAACCCCATACCTTTTCCCCCAGTCTTCCCATTGCAGGGGATGCCACTTCCGTTCATCTAAGTCAGAAAATCTCCATCATCAGTTGAGTGTTGACATCACAAGCAATGTTTTTTCTTTATACCTTTCAATGGTTTAAAACTTCCTTACAATAAACATACATACTTATGAATACATTAAAGGACCAAAAACTATTCTTTGAAACAGAACAAAGATGTGCTTTATAATCTCTATTTTTATTAATTTTAGCTTTATGAATATCTAAAAATTAATATTAACTTTCATATTACCGGAAGTGTTTGGATTTACTGAAGACATCACGGAATCAGCTTCTATCTAGAAAAGAAAAAAGAAAAGCACATATAATTTCATCAAATGTTTTCACAGTGCGAATTCTTAATTCTTGGGGTGTGGGGAAGGATTGTATTTTATGAGAAACCAACTCTCTTGAGTTCAGCAGACAAGTAACATCACAGGACAGCTGTAATAATCATTTTATTCTTCCATTGATATCTGGGGTGGGGGGATAGGTTAGATACATGATGGGGATTAGGGAGGGCACTTGTGATGAGCACTGGGTGTTGTATGGAACTGTTGAATCACTATATTGTACACCTGCAACATACTGCATGTTAACTAATTGGGATTTATTTTTTTAAAAGGGGAAATCAGTTTTATTTTTTAAGTTTTAAATTATTTATTTATTTATTCATGAGAGACACAGAGAGAGACACAGGCAGAGGGAGAAGCAGGCTCCATGCAGGGAGCCCGATGCGGGACTCGATCCTGGGACTCCAGGATCACGCCCTGGGCTGAAGGCAGGCGCCAAACTGCTGAGCCACCCAGGTATCCCCAACTAATTGGGATTTAAATAATCTTAGGGGCAGCTTGGGTGGCTCAACTCTAATGGCCCCCAAACAATTTAAACATATATAATCAACTTGGCTGTCATATATGCAGCATAATCTAAAAGATAACCTATTTTAGACAAATACAAGGATTATTACAATGAGCTTGATGGCTTTAACTTTTTTCCTGATAATAAAAGTAATGTGATGTAGAAAACATGAAATATATTTTAAAAATCACGAACACTTTTAAAAACAGCAATCCAATGAAAACCACTATTAACATCTTGGCCTAGTCTGCATTTTCCCCTCTATGCCTTTTTAAAGATATTTCAGAACACATCCTAGATAAGGTTCAGGAAACTTTCACTATATATTAAAATATAAGCACTTTCCTATAGTTACAAGGGCATTATAAACATTATGGAATTAGAACCTTGACAACACCTGGCACGGGTTTTTGACCTTGGATTCCAGGCCTTGCACTTTCCTGGTTTCTCTCGCCCATGCCAGGGGGTTCGCATCGCATCTTCTTCCTGGAACCTGCCTACCCTGAAATGTTGGTACCCCTGCCCGCCCCCACCCCACCCCCTGTGGAGTACTCTTTAGCACTCTGCATCCTGTTTTCTGCCAATGCCACTCAGTCTCATGTTCTGAACCACCACTTGTAACCGAGGAGTCCTCAATCTGTCTCTAGCCCTTACCTCTCAATTCCTTGTGTGGTTCCAGATTCCTGCATTTACAAGGGATGGCAGATCTTTCCACCAGAACCTCAACACCAGCACAGTATTTAATGAGTGAATTCACTTGGCATGTTCACAGCCTCCTCAAATTTCATGTGCCCTGAACTAAACTCACTGACTTTCCCCAAGCCTACTCCTTAGTTTTAATGCCACTTAGTGGCATTACTATTGCTCCAGCCCTGGTTTCACACCCCTCTCGAGGGCCAACCACATCTAATCAGCAGGGCATAGCATCTCCCTACACCACAAAGTGCTTCCAGACACTTCATATGAGGAATCTAGCTAGCTCTTCTAGTCTAAGTGACATCTGGACTGCTTCACAATAGAGGCTGTTTTATTCATCTTTATATCACTAGCAACTAGCAAGTGTTCATTTTATTAAATAGGAAGTAAACAATTGCATGAATGCATAAATATTTATTACATGTTGTGCATGCAGTAAATATTTTATTTGCTCAAAAGCAATATTCAAAAATATAACCCCAGGGGCACCTGGCTGGCTCAGTTGGTGGAGCATGCAGCTCTTGATCTTGGGGTTGTGAGTTCAAGCCTCATGTTGGATGTAGAGATTACTGAAAAATAAAATCTTTAGGGGCACCTGGGTGGCTTAGTCTGTTAAGTGTCTGCCTTCAGCTCAGGTCATGGATCCAGGAGTCCTGGAATCAAACCCCGCATCAGGGTCCCTGCTTGGCAGGGAGTTTGCTTCTCCCTCTGCCCCTTACCTTGCTCATGTGCACATTCTCTCTCAAATAAATAAAATCTTAAAAAAAAATAAAATAAAATCTTTAAAAATATATTTAAAAAAAACAAACTTCAACCTAATATAAAGGTAACAATCTGTTACATTTCACAGAGGGTTATATTATCATTTTTTAAAGATTTTTTATTTATTTATTTATGATAGAGAGAGCGAGAGAGAGAGAATGAGAGGCAGAGACACAGGAGGGAGAAGCAGGCTCCAAACCGGGAGCCCGATGTGGGACTCAATCCCGGGACTCCAGGATTGCGGCCTGGGCCAAAGGCAGGCGCTAAACCGCTGAGCCACCAGGGATCCCCTATACATTGTCATTTAACACAAGTTATTATACAAATGACTAACAGATGTACAGATGATTTGGTATCACTTTATTGTTTAGTGATCTGCAATCAATAGACATTTGATTAAAAAAATGAAACCCGAAACCTCAGCCAGGTAGGAAAATAAAAGTAAAAATTTGTTAAATTTCATGGATTGTACACATGTGTTACCATATCACTATACTTATCATTCAGTTCCTCGCTTATATTCTAAAATTAAAGCCAATTAAGTAGTTTCAAGGGTGATAAAAGCAGAATGAAACCAGCCATCTTTCCAGCTGAACACAGGTTAAATATAGTGCTTCAAAAGCTGGGACCATTTAGCTGACCTGCTTTGGAATTCTAGCTGAAATGACTGCAGGTGAATAGAAGAGCTGCAATTTCTAGGAGTCAGCCCTACTTCTCTGAGCTCCATAATCAGCCTACCCTCCATAATCAGTTCATGGGACCAATCTGTGTCAATAAAATGTATTTATCGTGAAGTGGTGATGCATTTAAGCATAATGAGGAACAGAGAAGTGAGACATCACGTGGTCCCTACCTTTGCTGGGCTTGCAATCTGAGAAGCAGAGCCCGGTGGTGAGGTCAGGCCAAAGTGATTGCTAAGCTGTTTGGTTTAAGGAGGACAGAGGGAGGGCATTCCAGGCACAGCCCTCTGTTTAAAGGCCACAACTGAATTTCTTAAAGCTGGACAAGATCTTGTCTTTGATTAATTCCAGTTCAGCATCTTAACAAGAAGAATCCATCTCTAGAATCAATGTAACAGGCACCTGGGTGGCTGTCAGTTGTGTGCCTTTGGCATGGTCATGGTCCCAAGGAGTCTGCTTGTCCGCCTCCCTCTGCTTCCCCTGCTTATTCTCTCTCTCAAATAAATAAATCCTTTAAAAAAAAAATAGAATCAACGTAATGAAGGAGCAGCCCAATGACAAAGGAGAGCAGGAAATCTGTCCTTCTAAAGCAGGACCTTCCTTGAAGTTCAGCTCATTAGTGAATCAGCACAAACTTTCCTGAAGAGTAGCACCCCTAACAAAATTTAAATGTACCTAGTAATTGTACTTCCAGGAATTTATTCCACAGATATACAACCACAAGTACAGATATACATATAAAAGGATGCTCATCGCAAGGATGTTTGTAGGAATGAAAAATAATGAAGGCAATCTAAATGACCAAAGACAGGAAACTGGCTACAGAGAATACTATGCGACTACTTTTTTATTTTATTTATTTATTTATTTATTTATTTATTTATTTATTTATTTATTTATTTATTTATTTATTGGGACTACTTTTTAAAACATGGTGGTGTATTTACGTTCACTGTTAAGTGAAAATAAGCAAAATAAGACATACTATGTACCCACTTATGGGTTTTTAAAAAAGATTCTATTTATTTAGCTGAGAGAGAGGAGGAGCAGCAGCAGAGGGAAAAAGAGAAGGAGGCTCCCTACTGAGCAGAGGCCGATGTGGGGTCCTGGGATCATGACCTGAGCCAAAGGCAGACACTTAACCAACTGAGCCAGCGAGGTGCCCCCCACCTATGTTCTTAATAGAATGCTAGGCACGTCTGTTATACATCAAAAATTTTGGAATGACACACACACACCAAAAAAACCTGTTAATAATGGTAGCCCCTAAGGAGCAGGACTCTTTGACAGCAAAGGAGGGGATTTTACATTCAACTTTATACTTTTTCCAGACTGTTGGATTTTTTTGCATAAGTAACCATGTTAGTTTTATAATTCAAATGAATCCCCCCCCCCGCGTTACCAATACCCCCTCCCCAGTCTTCCCTCTAGACTCCCTAGCATCTTGTTTTTATTATAAGCCTGGTGGTGACATAAGCTCCAAGAACTCGACCTCATCCCTGAGTTAGGCTCTTAAGAACGGTAAAAAATCCAGCACTGGACACACCTCTGAAATCGCTCTGAGAGGCAGTGATTTTTAAACACCCTAAAGAAGCCACAGCACTTAGAATCCACCCACTCCTGTACCGTCTGCCCCACTCCCAAATAGATGAAGAAAAGTTCTACCTTGGAGGGCTTGTACCCAAACAGCATTACAACGGCAACTTTAAAGTCCTCTCTGCTTAGATAGCCTTTGTTATCTTCATCGCACGCTTTAAATACCTAAAGAACATCAAAATACCTTCAGTTAGACCGACGCCCGTTTGTTCTATTCCTCGTTTATATTAAATTTAGACCTCCAACATCTAAACCTCAGCTGAGCAGGGGGGCTTGGAAGTGGGAGTTGCATCATCCTAATTTTACTCCTTCTTGAAGAACTCTTAAATGTGCCATCATTTACTCCCCTCCGAAATGTGCAAACGACTTAATGGCCAGACTAACGCAAACTAATTCCTTTAAACCACAGGGATAAATTCTACCTAAAATCCTGTCCTAGAATTAGGAAGGGGAGACAGATAAGAAGGTTGGGGGGTTATTACTAATGAACGAGGTAGCGGGGAAAAGAAGGAACTTGGAAGCAGCCAGAACACCGGACAGGGAGCGAGGAGCCTTGCAGCCCTCGGCTCAGTTATTATCCATGGGCCTCTGCAAGGAGGCTCCGGTCCTCGTCGGTGCAACCAAGCCGAGCGAGACCCAGGCGGGAAAGGATGGGAGCCCTGGGTCAAGTTCGAGTCTCGGAATAAGCCTCCGGACACCTACTTCCACCCACTTCTTATGTTCGGAGGGGCTGGCTTCCCAGGTCCGTGGCCGGGCCCCGGGCCCGGAGAAAAACATCGCGACCACCAAACCGACTCGGGACCGGAGAGCCCGAGACCTCCGCGGCCAGATCCCGGGAGCATCAGACCTCTGGCCACGCTCACCGCAGCTAAGGAAGCTGAACTTAGCCGGGCAAATCCAACGTCTCCTCCTATTGGACGGCCTGCCGGCCACTGGCGTTGATCCCGCGATTCTATTGGCCAGAGGCTTTAGGCCCGTTTCCTAGGAACAGCCTATAGCGGAGAGGCTCCTGGGCCCGCCCCCAGCCTTGGCACCGCCCTTCTCATCCCCTTAACTCCTAGCGCTCCGCTGGGGGAACCGGCTCACCTAGGTCCTGCCTCAGGGTCTCTTGCAAGGTTCCTTCCATCTTCCTGCCCGCCCCCGCCCCCCCGACCTTGCAATAAGTTACTTGAGTAATTTTTTTTTTATCTCTGACACTGTGCTAAACATGATAGGAAACACAAGTGTGGACAAAGCATAAAAAGACCCAAAGAGCCAAGTCCAGGATTCACCTGCTTATCAGCAAGTCACTGGGGTCGAGCCCTCCAGGGTAGTTACCCTGTTTGTCTTCCCATAACCCTGCAAGCAGCAGACTTTCAGCAAACGTACCAAGTCCTTCGAACTTCTCTGACGTGGGAAACAAAGCCAGAAGGCAATGTAAATAAAATGAAATGTTCTCATAACCTGCCGCCCATGGACAATTATTTGATGCAGGTAGAGTAAAAGGTTCCTCCAGGAAGCTCCCAAGTGCCTTAATGTTAATGTCTTGCTAGAAGGAAAAACCACCTTAGCCTGACAATACAAGTCCCCCTACACCCCGGGAGTCCTCTTTAGCAAACTTTTGGAAACTTCCTGTTTCTTTATCTCCCCCAACTCCGAAGTATAAAAATCAGTTGCTCCTTAAAGTCCCATGGCAGTAGCTCTTCTCTTCCCTGGTCCTGTCCCATGCCTTAATAAAACCACCTTTTTTGGGGCAGTCCGGGTGGCTCAGCAGCTTAGCACTGCCTTCAGCCCAGGGTGTGACACTGGAGTCCGGGGATCGAGTCCCGCGTCGGGCTCTCTGCGTGGAGCTTGCTCCTCCCTCTGCCTGTGTCTCTGCTTCTCTCTGTGTGTGTCTCTCTCTCATGAATAAATAAAATATTAAAAAAAAAAACACCTTTTTTTGCGCCGAAGGCATCTCAAGAATTCTTCCTTGGCCATCAGCTACAGACCCCAACAATATTTAAAAAAAAAAAAAATCCGTTTACACCAAGTTGTTTCACTAAGTCCTCTAGGAAAGGTGTTTAGTTCGAAAAAAGAAACTCTGCAAATAAATGTCATAAACATTAAAGCCAAGGAACACGGGGAGGGTTCCGTTTTGCAAGAATTTATTTCAGCCCCCTCCCTCTCCAGGCAAACCAGTTAAATGAAAAACACACACGTTTCGCAGGAGAAACAGGCCTTCGCGGTTGAGGGTGATGGGAGCTCATTAACTTTTTTATTTTACAGCAGGTTTTACTAGTTTGCGCCCCCAGCGAGCCCGGCGCCCGGGGATGCAGGTCTCGGCGCACAGCTTGCCTCGAACCTCAGCGAATCCTTTTTAAGTCAATACCGCCTGCCTCGAGCTCCGGGAGGCTGAGCCCGTCCAGGAGAATCCCTGTAAAAGGGGCAGAGTTTCGTCCATTAACTAAGGGCAGGGAGAGAGAGAACACTTCATTTTCTCTCTCCTCCGTTGAGATCAGAAGTGGTCATCAGGAGGTGAGCCGAGAGACGGGACACCCCCCCACCCCCGCTTCTACTCCTTCCCGCCAGAACCGCCCGCCGCCCCGCACCCCGGCGGCACCTCAGGACCCGGCGGTGTTTAGGACCCAGCGGCGAGCGTCCCGGAAGGGGAAGGGGCGGGGCCACCAGCCCGGAGCCGCGGCCGGGAGGGTTTAAACTGCGCGCAGGCGCGGGCGGCGGACCGGAGGGCGCTAACCTGGTGGTCGCGGGCGCCTCGGCAGCTGCGGCTCTGGAAGCTCCAGGTGCGTGTCCCGCGGTTGCAGGAGCCCGGCCTGCGCGCTGGTCGCTGGGGCCCCGCGAATTCCGAGGCCCGGTGGGGCCGGAGGAGGGAGCCGAGGGAAGCAGGGCACCTGGGAGGGATGCTGGGGAAGGTCCCCTCCTGGGCCTCGGCTTCCTCGGGCGCCGAACCCGCCAGGCGCGAGCGGCAGGTGTCGCGGGCTCGGGCTCCGGCTCCTCCGCGCGGCAGGTGGGCGGTGTCGTCAGGTGGGGGATGCGGAGCGCGCGGGCGCCTCTCCCCGGCCAGGTTGCACCTGTGCGCGGAGCCGGTCACCCGTGGGACTTACGGGTGACTCGGTGCGAGCGTTCGTGGACCGAGTTGCCTCCTGGCCAAGCGCCTCCAAGGGTGCGGGCCTGTGGTCGGCGCACCCCGCGATCGGCCCGCCTCCCTCCGGCCCCACCGCCCCTGCAGGACCTGCCCCCGCGGGGTTCGTCTCCCTCCAAGCCGTTCTCCCGCAGTTAGGAACCTAGTAGCTTAGGTAAGTGGGGACCCTGTACTCCCCGCTTGTTAAAGCCTTTCGGGGGCCCCTGCCTTTTTTAGTCTGAAATCCAGGATCTTTAACACTTCCCTTACTTCTTCCCACCCCCCTTCATCCTGAACTACTGTACTGCTTGCCCAGATGCCTCTTTCTCATCTAGGAGTTATTACAACTTTGTACCCACCTCCAGGCCTTTGCAGGTTGGGTTCCCTCTACTTGGAATACTCCCCCCCCCCCTTATTCGGCTGGTTTTCATGCCCCAGATCTCTCTTAAATGTTACTTATCCTAAAAGTATTCCAAAGTAAGGACGTCCCTGTTACTCTCTCACACCTGTAAAATGCACCTGGTGTCTGGAAAGATAGCTTGGCCCTTCTCTTTGTGTGGGTCTGTTATTTCCCCACGCCCCACAGCCCCCCGCCCCGCAGCCCTGAAACATATAAGCACTTTTAGCATAGAAACCATTTCTGGAAAAAAAAAAAAGAAAGAAACCATTTCTGTATTAACTCCTTATCCCCAGGGCTAGGCACATAGCAGCTGCTCAGAAGTACCTGTTGCGTGAGTGAATTCTGGGAGATAGGTATGATACTCCTTTTCCCCAGGAGGAAACTATGGCTTAGTGAAGTAACCTGCCCAACTCCACGTTTTCCACCTACTAATGACAGGATTTGAAATGAGGGGAGGAGTTCGTGTTTGCCCACAGGTGGTCCACACCGGGCCTCTGCCCTCCTGATGATCTGAGCGCTCTACTAGAGCCCCTGGGATGTGGAAGAGATATGCCCCAGTTGGGTCTAGTATGATAAGGGGAGAGGAGGTGCTAGCAGCTTTAAGAGGAGTACCCGTTTGCAGCCACAAAACTTTTTTTTCAGTCCCTGTAGGAAACTTTAGTGTTCCACGCTGGCATTTAATGGGAGAATTTCCTTTAGATTTTTATCGTTGGCAATATAGCTTAATGCGGTTTACCATATTTCAATCGTTTGCCTACCTCCTTCCTGGTTTTTGTCTCCCTTTTAATACCTGTACCATTGTTTATTTGGTGTTTTGATTTGAATCTATTTTTACATAAGTATTGTCTTTAAAACTTCATTTTGGGGCAGCCCCGTGGCGCAGCGGTTTAGCGCTGCCTGCAGCCCAGGGTGTGATCCTGGAGACCTGGGATCAAGTCCCACGTCGGGCTCCCTGCATGGAGCCTGCTTCTCTCTCTGCCTGTGTCTCTGCCTCTCTTTCGCTCTCTGGATAAATAAATCTTTAAAAAAAAATAAAATAAAACTTCATTTTGTTGTAAATAAAATGGAGCCTTAAGATACTTTGTTGATGGTTTAAAAAGTGTTACTGGTGCCTGCAGAAGAGCCCAAAGTCTGTTGAGGCGATTCTTCAACACTACAACTGTCCCTTTGATTTAACCTGATCTGAACAGAGGTGCCTGGGTGGCTCAGGTAATGATCTCCAGGTGCTGGGATGGAGCCCCAGCATCTGAATCCTTGCTCAGCAGGGAGTCTGCTACTTCCTCTCCCGCTCCCCCTCCTCCCTGCTTGTACTCGGTCTTGAATAATCTTTAAAAAATGGACTGGAACAGAAAAGGGTGGTACTTGTATAACGCGACATTGTTTGGTCCCAGGCACCCCCACTTTGGGAAACACCACTTTGTGCTGACTTGACTAATGTCGGGTCTCAGAATTGGCCCATCAGAATTGTGACTGTATAATTTCGGCATCACCACTTACTCAAAATGTGATCTTAGACCTGAGGTATGGCCAGATGCTGCCCAGGGAAGACGACAAACAATTGAAGGAATGCTCTTGAGTTGTACCTTTAACACTGACTTGATGACAAATGCACTCTGCAAATGCCTGTAGCAGAGAAGTAAAATTCTAATACTGGAACCAGGGAGTTCTCCACAGTAAGTCCGTTCCTATCTTGGCATTTCAACCACTCCTCTTCATAAAGAGCTTGGTAATCTGAATGTGATGATCCAATTTTTTCTTTCAAATGCATTTTGCCTTTAATTAGCAAGTAACAGCATATTTAAGGGTAAGCAAATCTAAAACTTAAGCTATAAGCAGATAAAAGCATTTTTTTTTTCTCGAAATATGTTTCAAAAGCTTTTTTACCCACTTGTCCTACTTTGGAGGGAATGGTCTTCCTCCTTCCCATCCACGTATGGTTCTAAAACACATAGGTAATAAAACTGAAAGCCTTAGAATTACTCTAAATAGTCACTAAAGATGATGGTCTTCCCTACAGAGTTCTCCATGATTTCTAAATTCTATTTTATTTAGACGTACTTCATCTGGGAGAGGAATGGTGGTAGCCTTTAAGTGTCTGCATACAGGTTTTCTTAGGCTGGAAGCTGAATTCTTACCTACAAATTCTGCTTTAGAATGGGGAAGGAATTTAGAAAGAACAGCCTGTGGACTCTTAATTGAAGATTCTGTTACTAAGAGCCTGGCTTTACTGCTGTTTGAGAGCTCTTTGAAAGTTAGAGCCAACAGTTTTTTTCTAAGATGGTTCTATTCTTAATTTTTTGAAGCCACAAAACTAGCCACCAAAATCATTCCTTCAAAGTTCCTTTAACTCACAAGGTGAATTGGGATGGCTTAAATACCTCTCACCAGCAGCCTCCAAGAGTCTAGAACACAAGAGGAACCTAAAATTTAAGGGGAAAAAAAATGAAAAGCTTTAAAAACCTGAACTATTCAAGTAAGTGTTTGTTAGGTCTGTCCAAGTATTTTTCATGAAGAAAACCTGGCTCTTGTATCCTTTTAACCAAGCTTGTTATAACTATTATCTGGTTTCTTAACCCTTAGTAGATTAGAAACAATTTGGAGGAGAAACCTGCTCGGAGTTCTAACCTAGAATTGGGGTACACAGAACACTTAGAAAAAGACCTAGACCAAATCTAGGGCCACTAGTACTGAAGCAAGTAGTCCCTACAGCTTTGTAAAACAGTATCCATACCAGGTCAGGTTAATAGGGACCCTGAGATGTGAAGAACAGGTCAAATTATGGTCTAAATGAACTCCGTTTGCAAAAAAAAAACACCCTTGGAACAGGTAATTTACAGGAGAAACTTGGTCTTGAAATTGTGAAGGTTGGGGATCCTGGGTGGCTCAGCAATTTAACACCTTCCTTGGCCCAGGGCGTGATCCTGGAGTCCTGGGATCGACTCCCACATCAGGCTCCCTGCATGGAACCTGCTTCTCTGCCCCCCTCTCTCTCTCTTTCTCTCTCATAAGTAAATCTTTACTTTTTTTTTTAAGATTTTTATTCATGACAGACACAGAGGCAGAGACCCACACACAGGCAGAGGGAGAAGCAGGCCCCATGCAGGGAGCCTGATGTGGGACTTGATCCTGGGTCTCCAGGATCATACCCCAGGTGAAGGCAATGCCAAACTGCTGGGCCATCGGGGCTGCCCAAATAAAATCTTTAAAAATTGTGAAGGTTTTTTAACTTGACCAGCAACTGGATGGTTCATTTGGTAGCGTATGCAATGTTTGATCTCTGATCTTGGGTGGTGGGTTTGAGCCTACCAAAAAAAAAAAAAAAAATTAAAACCTTTTTAGCTTGAAACATGAAAATATATTCATTCGCAAATCTTTTGGTGTGCAATCAAGCTTTTTTTTAAGGGATGGAGGTCCTGTGAAGAGTGTACCAATCTTGTAATGTGTCCTCAATTTCTTTAAAAGAGTAAAATTTTGAGAATTTGAACACAGACTCTTGAGTTAAATAATTTTTCTCTGGGTCTTGTACAAAAATTAAAAAATCACAGTAAGTTCCTTAGCTATCTGGAAAATGTAGTTAGACCTTTACATTTGAATTGGTGAGATTTTGTAGGCAACAAAACCAAAAGTACTTCATCGTTTAAGTAGAAACTTGACTCTGGTTTAGAAAACAAGTGTTTGCTTCAATGCAAGTGTTCTGCAGCTTTTAGTGGATTTAGGATGAGGCCAATAAGATAGTTGGGTCCTCGTGGCAGCAATTCTAGATAATGTATATATAGAATTGAGGATTTGATACTGTTTTTGAGGATTTTGTTCAGCTTCACGGTAAGCTTATCTTTGAAGAATCATTCACTAACATCCAGTGGGCTCCCATGCTTGGGTAAAGGGTAGATTTATAAACTCCAATTTGATCTAAAAAATTTGAGTTATTATAACTATTGAAATTCCTAAAATTAATACCAAGCACCTTGTTAGAAGAGTCGAGGTCAAGAGTGAATATTTTTATTTTGGAGTTTGTCCCCAGCTCTTTCCTCGGGCCTCCTAAGAACAAGGTCTGGGTTGAAAGGAGAAGGTGACTGAGATTTTTGCTGTCACTTCATTTGCCAAATTCCTGTAGCAGATCTTGGGAACGTGCCTCCGAACACCTGTGAAACAGCTGATGTTCATTTAGCAGCTCAGCATCTGGTAAGTGTCAGGTGTGCTGTACAGGTTGCAGAAACTCGTACTGACAGGGAATTTAAGAGCAACAGTTTGCCAATGGCCTAGTAAATGAAAATAACAATATTTGTCTTTCACTTCCAGAAGTATGTCTCAGGAAGGTGATTATGGGAAGTGGACAATATCCAGTAGTGATGAGAGTGAGGAAGAAAAGCCAAAACTAGACAAGCCATCTACATCTTCCCTTCCCCATGCTGGGCCAAGAGCAGCAAATGAGCCAAGTTACACCTGTTCTGAGGCTAGAAAAGCTGCCTATAAAAGAAAAATCTCACCTGTGAAGTTCTGCAACACAGATTCACAAGTTTCATCTCCGAAAAGGCAGAGGAGTGGTTCCCAGGAAGACCTAGGTTGGTGTCTCTCCAGCAGCGATGATGAGGTGCAACTGGAAACCCAACAGAAACAGGTTGAGAACGTGGTGGTCAGAGAGGAGCATGGAGTCTCTTCTTCCAAGGGCAGTGCCACCCAAAGAACTGGGAATCACAGCCCTCCCGCCCACCATGGGTTCAAAGAGGAGGAAGAGGAGTATGAAACCTCAGGGGAAGGCCAGGACATTTGGGACATGTTGGCAAAAGGGAACCCCTTCCAATTCTACCTCACTCGGGTCTCGGGAATCAAGCCAAAGTATAACTCTGGAGCCCTCCACATCAAGGGTAAGTGTTCCAGCGCTGTCAAACTGCAGCACTGTCCCCTTGGCAGAACAAGGAGGGTGAGCTAGAATGGTCTCAAGAACCCTTCTTTGCAGTCTTAACTACTCCCAGGAAAAAAATACCATTTTAACAAGCAAATGCATTAGTTTGACAGCAAACTAATGTTTTCTTAGAGAATCAGAGTGTTTCTCAGTCCTATAGATCAACCAGTTGGAATACTTAGACAATTCTAAACATTGTGCTAACTTTTAAACTTGCTAATAACACTTAAATAGCAAATCCCTGGGAGCAGTTCTTTGATTCCTGGATCAACATTGACAGCAGCATCACCTAAAACTTGTTAAAAATGCAAATTTGGGGGCTACGCCGCGGTTCACTGGATCAAACTCTGGGAGCAGGGCTTTGCAATCTGTTTTAAGAAGCTTTTGAGGGGATTCTCATGCCCAGTCAGGTTTGAGAACTGCTTAGTATATGTTCTGCCAAAACAAGCACGAGAACTGCTTAGAAGCCAGGTTTCAATTCCTGGTGAAGAAACCAACATCAGTACACAAATAGACATTTCAGTTCTGAATCAGAAGGTAGTCTTTAGTTGCTTTGCTTTATTCCCCAGCGTGCATCTGTGTGATGTCATGATATGTATTTGGTCTTCATTCCTGGTTGATTTTTGTCCCAGGTTCCTGGAATGGCTCTAAAGTAATGAAAGTCAAAGGAATATCCCTTCTGTTTCTAACCAGCTCCTTTCAGTCACATGTGGGTTTGTTAATGAGGTGACTTTTGGAAAGACCTAAGAGTGGGGGACTGATTGCCAGGGAGACCCAACTGTGTCACTGAAGTCGGAATTTTCAGTTCCACCCTCACCCTCACCTCCCACCCCCAAGGAAAGGGAAAGGGGCTGGATGCGGTTAATCTCTAATGGCCAACGATTTAATCATCATTCCTTTGTAATGAAGCCTCCTTTCAAAAACTAACTTGAAGGGGCTTAGAAAGCTTCCAGGTTGGTGAACACATGGAGGTGCATGGAGGGTTCACACTCCTTCCTCTCTTCCTTTTTGTTTGCATCTCTCCCACCTGAATGTTCCTGATTTGTATCCTCTTATAATAAACTGGTACTCTAGTAAGTAAAGTGCTTTTTGGAGTTCTGTGAAGCATTCTAGCAAGTTCTCAAAACCAAGGAGGGGCAAATAGGTGATACTGTGGAGAACTGCAATACATTCCTTTTGTGTTGTGTACCTCTTATAAAAATACCTATCTTATAAAAGCAGGAGTTTTCCTGAAGGCAACTTCTTTAAAAATCTTTGTACCCCGGCATGTAGGTCACTATCTGGAAGAAGCACTCAATAAGCATGGTCTAATGAATGAGCCTACTCTTGAAATCCTCAGGCAGTTTGATGGTTAGGAGCACAAGTGCTGAAGCCAGATAGCTGGACATCACTCCTGACTATCCTGCTTCCTAGCTGTGTGGCCATGGACAGCTCCCTTAGGGGAGACTCCTCATCTACCAAATGGGAATGAGCAACTCCAGCTCAGAAAATGGCTGTGAAGGGTAAGAGTAAGCACATGGACAGTGGTAAAAACTGTGCCTGGCACCTAATAAAAGAGTGCAGCTGTTACAGTCGGCGGTGGTAATTGTATAATTCCTCTCCTAGTACAGTTTATGAGAAGGGAGTTTTTTTTTTTTAAGATTATACTTATTCATTCATGAGAGAGACAGAGAAGCAGAGACACAGGCAAAAGGAGAAGCAGGCCCCATGCAGGGAGCCTGATGTGGGACTCGATCCCGGGACTCCAGGATCACACCCTGGGCCAAAGGCAGGCACTAAACCACTGAGCCACCCAGGGATCCCCGAGAAGTGAGCTTTTTGATCTTACTTGAAGTCAAGTTGGAATGAGTGTGAGGTGCAACCCCCTTCGACATGACCTGGAGTGCCAGAAATATGAGCTTAGGGTTGTTGGTGCCTCTGCCCTCCTTCACAGGAAGCAAGTGCGCTCAGGAGATGGTGTTGCTAGACCTGTTGCTAGACCACGGCTGTTGCTGTTTTCTAGACGGTGTTGGGGAGGTTTCTTGGAGAGGGACTTGGATAAGTACTTAAAGGAGATAAAGATTAAGATCTGGAAAGAACAATATATTGTCATTGTCCTTCGTGGCAGTTTTTTAAATTGATCAGTAATCAGATTCTGAAATTGTAGGTTTTAGTTTTATGTTCTATTTCGTTAAAACGTAATAAATACTGCTCAAATTTCCTCTTGAATTTTATGGAACATTATGTCTAACTTTGTAGTCATTTCTCGGTTCATGGTTTTCTCAGCCAAATTTTGATTGTCAATTGGGATTACCAGATGATTCTTATCAAAAATGAACTCGATATAAATGTTTTGTCTTCTCAGATATCTTATCTCCTCTATTTGGGACACTTGTATCTTCAGCTCAGGTGAGTTTATCATGGTTTTTTTCTTTGGATGAAAAAGGACAAATAACCCCATAAGAAAAAAGGAGGACCTGTCTCAGTCCTGTATGGGGTCCCCAAGATGGTATGTGCCAGGAGGCTGGTGCCAAGAACCGCAGTTCTGCTGAGGCTGTGTCCAGCCATCAGCATGGAATAAAGATACCAGTACCAGTGCAGCTTCTGGCTGATCAAGAAATCACTCTGGGAATTCCAGCCTGAGGGACTTCTTTTTGGGACACAGTTAATCTCCTGGGTCTCTAGTACAACTCTTAGGGAGGTGCAGAACTTGTAGTCAGTGTAATTGGTATAAGCCTAGTGAATGTCCAGTCCCAGAGGCCTGTTCACAAAGCTAGCTTATAAGTTAGGCTGAAAAGAAATGTTCTTTCTAAAAGTCCTTTTTATGATCACCTAGGGGGAAAAGGGATAAATTTATAAGCCCTCTTATTTAAATTAATCAGAGGGCTCTTAGAAATATGTAGTAAGACTACTTAGAAATACTGCCAAAGCCTGCAGGATCCTTTCCTTAGAACCTGTTTTTTCCTGCTCTATCCCATTGATTCAGATTCCTTGAATTGGTTATTCCCTTCAGGATACATTCTAGGTTTGAGTATTGTAACACAACTGGCCAGGTTTATAAATAATACTTGGGAGTTCATCCTTAGTCTAGTTTCTTTCAATTCAATAACTGAACTATTCTGCTTGGCTGAATCACCCATAACACTATTCCTTTTCTTTCCCCATCTAGTTTAACTACTGCTTTGATGTGGACTGGCTCATAAAACAGTATCCACCAGAGTTCAGGTGAGGACCACAGGATGACTGAGAACAACTGTAATGGGGCTCGAAAACACAAGATTAGTGATTCACAGGCAACTGCTGTTCATCTTTTTTTTTTTTTTTTGAATATTTCTTTTGAAACTATTAATCATACAAACCTAGTTACATAGGAGAAAACAGCATTTGTTGATCTATTCTAATTAATCTCCTGTGTTCCTAATATAGATGTTAGCATTCATGGCTGTTGCTGTTTCCAGAAGTAGATAAGGACAAGTCCCAATCTAAAGAACTTTGATATTAATATGAAGGAAAAGATCATTACTATCTGCTTTCTAGACCTGTAAACATGCCACACTTGCCTTAGCACAGCAGTGCTGTTCAAAGAACCTTTGCTAATGATTCTTCCTGTAGTTCAGGAGCCAATGAAGGGGGTTTGAGAGCCTTCTCTTATCCAGATTACAGAGGTGTCAGTTCATCCTCTACAGTTCCTCAGCCTGGTGTTAGGCGGTGTAGCCTGAATACAGATGGGACAGGTGGCAGGTCACTGTACAATGCTATGTCTAACATTCACCCAGTAAAACCCTTAACAGCAAGTAAGGTAAAGGAATATACCCACAGCAAAATAATTGGTCAGGGTCCTCAAAGTCCTTGGTACATTTAGGACATCCGATTTTGGAAACCTTTATTAATAGCAGATAAAATTCTATTGAAATTTCCTGAGAGGCTTTGTCACTCAAGGGCTTGTGTTTGACCTATAACACATAGGATTGGTTTTAGCTGTATATAACAGAAAAGCAAAAATAACCATGGCTTAAATGAGAGAAAACAGTTTCTCCAGCCTGAGAAGTCCAGACAGTAGACATTTGTGGTCTGGTTTGGGGGCTGCTGTGGTTCTCAGGGACTTAGTCACCCATTGTGTCTTTCTGTCCCACCATCCTGTACATGTCCTCAAAGTATCTTCATGGTCCAGGAAGGCACCCAGTGCTCCAGGTCACTGGTCTCTGTTCTAGGTGGCAGGCAGGAGAAAGGGCACAAGGGCCACCTCCCAGCTATGCCTCCTTTGAGCAGCCTCCTGAATGTCCCACACAACACCTGCTTATATTTCATTGAGCAGAACTCGGCCATAAGATACCTTATTTCCTTGAACTCTACAACCACTTATTAATAAGTCTGTGTCATGCCTTGGGCCTGGGCTTGTTCACCCTTGTATCTTGGGACTAGTGCAGTACCTATTACACAGGAGTTTAGTGAATATAGGTCTAATGCGGAAATGCTTTTTTGCTTGGTCCAAAGGAAGGGAGAGAGAAGAACATACTACTAAGTAACAATAATTGTGTATCTCTTAATCTGAACTTAAACACATGAACACAGAGCTAACTATATGTCCTTCTGGACCAAAGAATATAATTACTTAGGGATTTCCTTGAGTCACAATTTCTCTGGGTCCCATCAGATCTTTTTTGGGATCAGGCCACATGACCCTGTTGTAAAGGTAACTGGTTAGTAAAGAGTAACTGGTTAGTGCTCTATTTCAGCTCCGTACTCAGTCACCACAAAGACCAGAAACACTTGTCTGGTGGTAAGGAAACTAGCGTTCTTTAGTCAGTAGTCCAGCTTTATAAAAGATGTATTCTAAATACTTCTGATCTGTTTCTAGGAAGAAACCAATCCTGCTTGTGCACGGAGATAAACGAGAAGCTAAGGCTCACTTACATGCCCAGGCCAAGCCTTATGAAAACATTTCCCTCTGCCAGGTAAGCTACTTCTGTTTGAGATCACGCTTAGCCCAGGAGTTGAAAGGAGATGTAGACATTTAATCTAACTACCCACCTAGAGCAAGAATCCTTTATCTAGCATCACCAACAGATACTTTTTGAGCCTTGACTTAAATGCTTTCTGAGACACCCATCTATGTGTGGGTAGCCCTAGAAGTTGGAAGGATTTTTCTTTCTTTGTTGACCTGATATCTCTGTATTTGTCAGGTTCCTCCAGAGAAACGGAACCAATAGGGTAAGTGTGTGTAGAAGACTTACTTTAAAAGAATTAGGTCACATGATTGGGGACTGGCAAGTCTAGATGTTATAGATGTTATAAGCCTGCAGGCTGGAAACCCAGAAGAGAGTAGATGCTGTAGCTCAGGTCCAAGATGGTCTGAAGACCGAATTTCCTCTTCCTTGAGGGAGATAGTCTTTTTTTCACTTAAGCCTTCAACTGACTGGATGAGGTTCACAAAGAGAAATCTGTTTTACTCTGCTAATTCAAATGTTAATCTCCTCTAAAAATGACCTTCATGGCAATATCTCCCCAAATATATGGATACTGTGACATGGCCAAGTTGACACAATTCTCATCATCTCCTTTTACCTCTTGTGCTTGGGTCCTGATTCCCCCTCTCTGGAGCCACATATAATAAACTACAAATGTGACTGATGCCTGTTTATAAAGTCCTCTATTGTACCTCCTTCGTTTTCTTTCAGGTTTGAGCATCATTTCCTTAGTTGTAACAAGAATCTCTCATTCCCCATCTGCTAGCACTCCTCTGTTTGCATATAGTTCGTCATTGTCCTTCTCGAACCTGACCAGATTTTCTGAATGCAAATCAGTGGGTGCTGCTTTCTGTGAATGCAGCTTAAAACTTTGACAACTTATCTGACGGGTACTTGCTGCTGACACTTGACCCATAGACCTCTGATCTTTTTCGTGTGAATTGTAGCAAAGGTCTATACTGGAAGGATGGACAAATTAGAAGTAAACCTATTAAGAAACTATGTGAGTTGAGCTGCAAATGTCTAGGCCTAATGAGGGAACAATAAGTGGTCTTGTAACAGCTGTATCTGCTTTGTTTGCTGGGACCAAAGCAAAGCAGAAAAGGCCAAAAAGTTGTTGCCGAGGTTCTTGTTATAGTCCCAGAATTCTATCCTAATGCCCTTCATTCTGTATGTGAAAATACACTGTAAGTCTTGGACTTCCTTTATGACTAGTTGCTTTTGATTCCATCCCTAAAAGAATATCGGGTGTGGGATTTCATGCAACAAACTGGGGAGAGAGAAGCAAGAATTTTTCATAGTAGGATTTCCTTCTTGTGGAAATGGTGGCTCTGAAGTGATTGAGGTCATACTGACCTTTTCCTGTTTGGGCAGCTGACTAGTCCATTTCCAAGCAGCCACAATAAGATGCTTTCTCTTTGCCATAGTGAAATAGCCTCTAGATTTATGCTCTTGGAGTGCATTGACAAGCGTGAACTACATGGAACCTAGATCATTTTTCATTTTCTTTCTAATGTCTTTTTTCCTCCCTGTTCATATAAGAATTCCAACTCATTTTAATGTTCTTTCAACTATAAAATGCTATCTGTGTATGTCCTTATTCTTAAAGGTTCACAGGGAGAAATCTCAATCTGCTCAATCTTAAACCTGGCTTAAATTTTTCCTGTGATTTGACCCACAGTACTTTATGTAGTTGGAGTTTTTAAAACAGTCACTCCTTGGCCCAACATGTTTATGGCTCCGCTTTTATACATAAGCTTCTGCTTGGCAGTTGCCTAAAATCCCATGGTTTGCTTTTGCTTCTTCCAAAAGAAGAGTTTAACCTGCAGTAGGATAGTGCTCATGAGACTAATAGTGGTTAGAAAATAACCTAGGAATCCTAAAAAGCAATCATGAAATCAGTGGAAATAGAAAGACTTTCAGAGACTAGCCACTTGTACTGGAAAGTCTGGGGGAGTGTGTGGCAGGTCTGATGGTGTGCTCCAGGCTGGCCACTAGGGGGCACGACGGCCCACTGTCCTCCACCTCCACCAAAGAGCTGTTCAGAAGGTCCTAGTACTAGTCCAAAGTGTAGGACTGTGATATCGTCCTGACCTGTTGAATTACCATCACATCCTGTCCGTGAGATGAATTCTTGACTTTTTAGGACAGGAGTGCAACATAACATCTGACGAAGCTGAGTCATAGTAGCGAAAATCAGCGGATCTTCCCATTTTGCACATGTGGGGCCTGAGGCCAAAGATTGAGGCCTTATGGTGGTCAAAGTTCAAACTGCCTGGGTTCTGCAGTTCTCTACCCACTAACTATGTCCATCTGGGTCCATTACTTAACCTCCGTAGGCCTAATTTGTTTATCTCTAGGATAGATTGTTAATAGTATTCTTCACTCAGTTGTAGTACCAAGGATTTGGTACATTTGCCCCCCAAAAAGCATCTGTTAGCTATTACCTGTTGAAGTTACTATCCTTGTGCTTAGACTTGCCCAAGAGCAAACAACTGCTAGCAAAACTAAACTCAGAAGCCATCTCTTGACCATTGCATTTTCTGAGCCAAATACCAGATTATAGAGAGGCAATCTTCATTCTAATTTTATAGTTTTAAAGACCTACTCTTCTCTGATCTCTCTTCATTTGTGTGGCCAGAGCCTACAAATGCATTCTGGTCTGTGAGCATCCCCAAACACTGAGCTTAAAGGGTGTAGTGAGTAGGGCCACCTGTCTCAGCATCCCCAAGACAGGTGTGTCCTACTCAACCTGTTGTCTAATTGCCTATTTCTGCCTCCAGCAAACAAGTCCATCCCTCTGCCCTGTTGGGGTGGGGAGCTTGATTTTTAGAAGTACTTAGTTCCATTTCTAGAGTGCTTACTCCATGCAGGCCCTCTCTTCTAGACAGTCCATGTAGTTGTCTCATCTCCTCCTAAAACTCTGAATCCCCTAACAGCACCCTCATTGTAAAGAGAAAAAAGATGAGGCGCATAGAGACTTAAGTATTTTTCAAAGTCACCCGAAGTTGTAAGGATGGGATTTTTGTGTCCCTGTGTCCACATTCCTCACTGTTAAACTGTTTTGACATTTAACTCTTTCATAGCCTACATTTTGAGATGTATTCTGCTTAACCAAGGTCTTGCTATACTGAATGTTAGCTAAAAATGTTTTAATTCTCCACCCATTCCTATTTAAGGTATCATTTTGTAATAGGAAAATAGATTGAATATATTATCTTTTCAGCACTCGCTAGGTTATCAATATGAGAACTTCTGTTTTAACATCAAAATGTACGCTACTACCACATTGTTCATTTTAGATACGGTCTAGAAATTTTCTGATACATTAATTTCTGTGTAAGCCAAATATCTTAATTTTAAAACTTTGCTTAGGATCCCCCCCCCTTTTTTTTTTTTTGGCAACTAAAGGTAACAGACTTCTGAGGACTAATTAAAAATTCAGCACATATCAAATCGTTCTGGCTAATTAAACTAATGAACCTCACTGGATGGGATTATAAAAGTTGTATTGTCAGTCCAGGGCCTCTCCACTAGAGGGCAGTGAAAACTCAAAACAATGTTGACCCAAACCTTTTCTAACTTATTTTCCAATAGATAAGGATATTGAGTTTGCTAAAAATAAGTGACTCAACTTCTTTTTCATCCTAGGCAAAGTTGGATATTGCATTTGGAACACACCACACGTAAGCAAATTTTTACAAGATGGGAGAGGGTGTGATTTTAGTAGAGCCAAGGACACTATTCTGAAAGTGCCCTTAAAGGAACTCCCAGGTGACAGTTTTGCCAGGGAAAAGAACATCCGTAAGAAAGTAGAGGCGGTGGAGCTGTTTACTAACAGCCTTAAGACAAAGTCCTGGGATTCTGGCTCTTAATGTGAAAATCTGAATCTGTGATGTGGTTTCTGCTTTCTGTTCAGGACCCCCTTCCAGCCAGTGGGGGCGGGGCGGGTGGAGTCGGTGGTGGTTTGTTATGTAGTCCGAGGTTACAGATGACTCTAGGTGTCAGTCATGTGCCTTTGGATTCCACTACTTAAAAAAAAGTCTGATTTAAGATGCTGAATTGCATTAAATAGAATATTAGGTCAGCTCCATGCTGTGATAAACTACAAAGCTGTTAATTTGACACTGATGCCTATCCCTGCTCAAAACTTATCAGAAATTTCTTTTAGAACCATTTTGAGATGTTGTAAACCGGGCAAGAAAATCTATTACTTCCTACATGACATGTTGCACCTAATGATCAGTTTGATTCCTACTGCAGTTAATTCTTACGGCTGTTCTACTAAGCCTTTTTACATAATTGTTCTATAAATGAGAAAAAGAAGATATGGTTGTTCCTATTTCAGTATTTTTATAAACCAGCAGTGGAAGTGGGTTGGAATTGTAAGCCTGTCCCTTCAGGTAACAGTCTCTAGGGCAACAAGGAATCTCCTAGGATGGATTCTGACCTGTCGAAATATTAGTCCCAAGTCTTGCTTGTGGCCATTGTTTTCTTGATGTTACAGTGACTCGAAATCAGGAAATATGTTCATATTTCTTTGGCAAAATATGGTTTGAAGCATACAGCCTGTTTTAAAAAGGAACCAGAACAGGAAGGGCTGAGCTATTTCATAAGAGGATGCTCTTCCACAGTATCGTATCTGGTCTTTAATCCTCCTGAGTCAATGTTGTGTTTACCAACCATCCCTGATGGGTAGCCTCTAACAGGATAGGGTTTGAGGATTCTTGTGAACTTAAGCGTTTAACTCAGGTATAAATTACTCTTTATGGAGCACTTATCACAGGATGATAGGATACAAAATAGCCTTGAGTAGACTGAGTAGGTATCTTAGGTTCCCCTCCCTGCATCACAAGAGACCCTGGTGGTGGATGGCGGCAGTCAGCCTGTCCTAGGAAGACGTCCTGACCGTAATGAATAGCACCAAATGAATCCGAGTTCACCACCCTTAGCCGGGCCCCTAGCATAAATCTTATTCTAAAATTCCCCCATTTGGGCCCTGGACATGATTTGCTGATCCTTAGTGTCAGCTTCTTGCGTGGCCCCACATTCTGTGCCAGCAGTCAGCATTTTGTGGGCACCATCACGCTGCAGTTCTGTACCAACATGTACGAGAGCCTGCATCTTCCATCTTCATTTCAATTACACTGTGAGTCCTGTGAGGGACTGAGCATGTTGGGTCTGGCCAGGATCTAGCACGATAACATTTGATTGATCCTAGAGGGGCTATCCTTTTATTATGCTACTTAACACATGATTTGGTCCATCCTCTTCATTATATAGAGGTCCTTGGTAGATAAGCAGTTATCTTCCAGCTACTGTTGAAGACAGGACAAGGACCCATTTAACTCTTCATTCTCATTTGGTTTTAGCTAATATTGATTTCCCAGCACCCCCCCCCCCCCACAGGTTGAGCCCAGCAGTTACTCAGAATTGTAAATGCCTAGGCAAGTAATTACAACAGAGCCCTTCCCAGCCACATAGTTAATATTTTATTAAAATGCCAGTATCTTGAAGACTAAACTCATGTCTTGAAGTTACTCAGTTGCTCATTTAAAAAATTTCTAAAGAATTGATTAAATGACTGTTGTAATGAGACACAGCTCTGGTGTTTTGAGACTTAATAGTTCTCGTAGCTCTTAGTGTTTGGATGAGAGGCAAAATATTAGGAGTTAGAAAAAGGAGGAAACCTTCCAGCTCGCAGTGCTGGAGTGTAATGTGCCTCCCCAACTTGAGAGTGTAGTTACTATACTAAGTAGGAAGTCTTTGAGATTACATCCACTTTAGCAGAGATGTTTGGACCATGTACTGTGCACAAAACATCTGAAGACAACCAAGATAGAGCCCGCGTCACTATCCCTGTTAGGTACAATAAACATGCTTTATCCATGTTTCTGTAGGATGCCATGCAGTCTCAGGGCCTGTCACCCAGAGCTTTAGATTTCTGAACTTTTTCACTGTCCCCCAGAGCTGGGAACAAAAGTACCTCTAGCTCTGAGAATCAGTGGGGAAGGGGGGAAGTCAAAGCAGCCAAATGGTGAATGTCTGCCTGGGAGCCAGTGGCAGACTGCAGGGTGGTCAGGCACCACTTTCTACTTATATCTGTAGCCAGGCCTCCCACCACACAGGACTTAGTCCCACATTGTCCTACCCATCTACACACTTGCCAGTTGTGTGACGTGTCCTTGGCCCTGTACTTCCCTGTGGAAGCCATGCCTAGTGAGATGAAGGTCCCACCCCATGAGATCCAAACAAGCTCTTCTGGCTCATTCAGGAACTTTGATCATTCCCAGTACCTACCAGGCCATAGATTCTGCTGTTGTAAAATAAGGCTGTTAATGCCTCCTGGATCACCAGGGAGATAGGTGTATTGTATTCTGGAGAGTTTCTGGAATGCCTGGCACAGAGGTGCTCTGCAGACATTGGTTTTCTTCCCCCTTTACTGGAATAGCTCCAGGTTTGGAAATTATCCCCTTTACTGCCCCCACAACTTAACAGGTAATATGCAGGTCAACATTTCTTCAGGGGAGACTTCATTTCTTATGCATTTTTAATTGTGATTTTATTAGCTCCTGCCACTTTGTCTGAGATGATGGCTCTCTTTAGAATACTTCACAATCCTGTTGGATAAGATTCACTGACAGCAGTACATGATTTTCCTGATAATTGATGCCTTGATTAATGGAAATATTTGTGAAACTTAAATCTTGGATTCATAACTGGCCTTATTCTTAATTACAGTCAGCTGCTGATTTGGCAACTGTGTGTGTAAATCTGCCCAGATTTCAGGAAGCCCATTTCATAAACGGAGAAAAGATTGGTTCAGCAGCTGTCACTTCTCCAGCTTTGCATTAACTTACTGTTTGCCAGCTTGGGTTAAATTCTCATTTTGGCAAGAGCTAAATATCTCATTCTCTTTTCTATTCTTTGCAGTATCTTTTTATGCTAACCCCATTCTGTCCATATACAATTCAGTTTTGTTTATTTGGAGAGAACAAGTGGTTAGTTCCCTCCGCCCCAATGCGTGAACTAACATCAGTTGGTATTAAGTAGCATGTTGGCCCCAATGGAAATAAGACAGAGTTACTGCCTTGAGAAGTGAATCCCTAGTTACAGGGTGAGAACTTAGATTCATGAAACAATGGGGAGACCAAAAGCCCTCTAGGAGTAGATGAAGAAATCAAGGCACTGAAGGAGTCCTGGAAATGCACATGGGGGAGAGTTCATTTCATGAACGCATGTTATGATTCCTTCTCAAAACCCTGAGCAGCAAGGAAGGGATTGATCCTTTATTAGTGAGAAACTGTGGGACACCAAGTGACTTCCGTAGGGTCCTACATCCTCCAGTTGATGACAAGAGCTTAGGTCTTCTAGCTTCAAGTAGAAAGCTCTTGTTTGTATCCTTTTCCTTCCCAGTCTAGAAATAAAACAAGAGCACTCTGACGACTGGAGGGAAGGCCCATGGCAGAGGGAGGACTCAGCTGGGTCTCATCTGAGTACATGAAGGAAAGACTTCAAGGCTAGATCCGTGTTGATGAGTATGGCATCTGTGGAATATGAGAAAAGATCAGTCTTAGGATAGTGAAGCATTTGCAAACTTTTCCAAACCACAACCCACATTAAAAAGTACAGTGTACATAGTCTATCACACGTGTCCATACTCCTATGCTATGAAACCAGTTATTTAAATATGTACAATATATTTGAGTTTCTAACTATTTTAAATAGACTTATTTATTTTAGAGCCTAAGCGGGAGAGGGAGAGAGAATCTTATAGCAGACTCCCCACTCAGCACAGAGCCAACATGGGGCTCGATCTCCTGACCCTGAGACCATGACCTGAGTAAAAATCAAGAGTCAGATGCTGAACTGAGCCACGCAGGCACCCCTCTATTGTAACACCTTAAAAAACACTAGCTACGATGTAGTAGCAGGAGGCTGTGACCATACTTTGAGAAACACTGGACAAGGTTTCCATGGTCCTGAATAGATAAGGGCTTGAAGTGTCAGGCTTGGCCATGTGGGCAGGATGAGGCAAAAGTTCGTTTACTCAGCATTTCAGAAGGTAGTTTTCTACCTATCACTTAAATAGACTTTGATTTTAATAACATGTAGAAGAAACGAAGGTTGTAACTGTTAAGTTTGAGTAGAAGGGTCTGAGAACTCCTTTAGCCTATGATATTTGCACTGTAAAAATAGTATATATTTTAACAGCATTAATGCCTTTGTTCTTATTTTTAAAGGAAAATGATGTTACTACTGTATGAAGAAGGCCTCCGGGTGGTCATACACACCTCCAACCTCATCCATGCCGACTGGCACCAGAAAACTCAGGGGTTTGTAGGCTTCCGTTTACTTCACAGCAGTGGTTCTGGGTGGCATTCACTTGACTCTTTTCTTAGATTGTTTCAAAACAAAACACAAAAGCCTCACCTGTAGCATAAAAAAGAGACAGACCTGGAAATAGTATCTTACTACCTCCCCCCCCCAGGTCCACTGCTTCAAGTGTTAACAGTTGAGTACATACATATCCGTGACTATCATACGTGTAAACATAAATACTTGTTTTTCCCAGGTCTTACAAAAATGGGATTATACAGCAAGTACAGGGAACAGCATATACAAAGGCTCTGAGGCAGGAAAGGGGGTGTAAAATGAAAGGTCTGAATCTGTTTTTCTGGTGAAACCCATCAGTTACTTGCCCCAGTACCTGCTGCATTCTTGCTTGCCTATTTCCCAAATAGTATTAAAGGGAAACTTAGAAGTTAATCATATGTTAAAAACCTCCCATCATCCCGAGTTTATTTTTCCATAAAAGAAATCTAAATTAATGCCTTTTTAGAGTCTTTAACATGTTCATATGGTCATGAATCTCCAAAAGAAAATTTGAATTTGAAATTTTTTCATGCTTTTTAAATTGTATTATTACTAACCCTTAGTCCTTGGTATACTTATGCTAGCTCTAGTCTGAGTACTTTTTAGAAGAGGGGCTTGGGTTTTTGTTGTTGTTGTTGTTGTTGTTTTAAGGATTTGTTCCACTTAAGCTCCTCCTTCTGACTGGCTTTTATTGCTTTTTTTTTTTTTTTTTTTTTAAGCCATTTTGTATGTCTCTGCCTTCGCCAGGGTTAGAAGAAACTTAAGTATTCATCTGGAACCCTTCAGAGTTCACTTATTCTCCAGTCTTCCTTCCCCCTGTCTTAATGCTCCCTGCCACTGCCCAGGCTCGGCCAGAACTCTTCAGTCCAGGGCATGTGACAGAGCCCAAGTCACACCTTTAAGCTGAACTGAAATACAGGACCTTCTAGCTTCTGTCCTGTGGGCTCACTTCGACTCCAGAGTACCCTCCTCCCTTCATACCAGACCGCCCCTCCAGTTTGAAAGGCAGGCTTTTCCCCCAAGCCCAGTATCTCTGTGTCTATCTCCACTCCTTTCCCCACCATAGCAAGGGGCTTAGAGCCCCACCCCTGATCTAAAGATTTTTTAAAAAATTTTTAGTGAAAGGGACCATACAAGCAGGGGTAGCGGGAGGAAGAGGGAGAAGCAGACTCCCCACTGAGGAGAGAGCCTGATGTGGGGCTTGATTCCAGGACCCTGGGATCATGACCTGAGCTGAAGACAGACACTTAACCAACTAAGCCACACTGGGCCCCCAATCAGCTGAGTTTAGGGTTAACTACACCATTGCTCCTCCCAGAGCTTCTGAGCTGCCCAGTTGGGTTTTGAAACTCATCAGTCTATGGAGTTTTGGCACTCAGCCTCCTGTGGCTCAAAGAATCCCACCCATGGCCTCCAGCTGTTTTAGAGTGAAACTTGAGCCAGGACGCTTTAGGGGTCTCTGGGATGACTGCTGTGGAGGAAGGGATTAAGGATAATGATTCAGGTTTTCTCCTGTACTGAAAGTTTTGGTTTTGTTTTCTTTTTAAAGATTTTTGAGAGCTCAGCAGGGGGAGCAGCAGAGGGAGAGGCAGAAGCAGGCTCATCGCTGAATAGGAAGCCCAATGTAGGGCTCAATCCAAGCACCTTGGGATCATGAACTGAGCTGAAGGCAGGTGCTCACCAACTGAGCCACCCATGTGTCCTGAAAAAGCCGCTTTTTTTTTTTCTTTAAATTGACTGGTAATATCCTCACATGGTTTAAAAGTCAGTTTTAAGTTTTCATATCCAAGGGTATGAAATCTCCAACTTCCCTCTACCTGCTACCCGAGAGTAGGGTACTCTTATTGCACAGACAGTTCTAATCTCTCAAATTTGCATTTTTGTGTTGTGGGTTATAATTTTTCTTCAGATGCTTAAATGTAGTCCTTCTGTGCAACTTTCATGGTTGGTCTCCTAGTTATTCTCTGTTGGTGCTGTTCTGCTATGCAAGTGTTCCAGCCATCCTTCTTAGCTGCTGGTTGGTCTGCCTGTTAATTTCTCACTTTTAAAATTATTTGGCTCACGGTAATTTCACATTTTACTTTGTAAAGCGCTAAAAACACCTCACATCCCGGTATCCTGGTTTAGAAAGTTGTCATCTGTCCTGTTCCTCATCCAGACAGTGCTGTGAATGAGCCCCTAATCCCAGGGGAGCCAGAACCAGCCTGTGGGCTCTGAATTGTTTGTGAGGGAGAGATGGATAAATCCACCCAGCCAAGCGTGCTCATCTTATAGAGAGGCAGGCGCTCAGAGGTCATTGAGCTGCCCCCAAATGACACAGCCAGTTAGCAGCCCAGAACCTGGGCTGGTCCTCATCACAGTGTTACACCTTGTACAAGGGATCCCCTCACAACGGGAAGGAAAGGTGTGACCTGCCTCCCTGCTAAGAAACATGTGCAGAGGTTAAGCTGTTTGTGACCTATCCTGGAGCCCTTCACAGAAGGACTGGGTTTTGATGCAATTTTCCCACTTGCTGGACTATAGAAGTTGGGCAAAGGAACTTGTTCTCCTTTTGAAAAGAACTGGCGAAATGAAAGATGTCTTTAATATGTTACTGGGTTATATGAAAGTCTGAGGTTAGTGTGAATGTAATATTAAATGTGATAGCTCCTCCTTGCAGACACCAGAGAAATACAGAATATGAAAATACCTCAAACTGCTATACCCTATACATCATGAAAATGCGTTTATTGAAATTAGATTGCACTTTTTCCTTAGTGTAGGTAACCTTTTCCTACTTGGCTAAAATGCTACATGGATGTAACTTGCTGGGGTTACTATAGGTGGCAAGAGTTTGCTGTGCCAGTTTGGGATGCAGCCATTAGCTGTTGTCACTGGGTCTTGGCAGTATGGAGGTGGGGACGGGGCTAGAGAATAAGGAAAGTGTAGTCAAAGAGGGAGCTGAGAGCATGGAGTCATGAGAGGTGGGCAAAGGCCCAATTTTAGTGGGTCCTAAAGAGTTATTTCTTATTCTATTCCAGAATATGGTTGAGCCCCTTATACCCACGGATGGCCCAGGCAACCCACAGATCTGGAGAATCAGCAACACATTTTAAAGCTGATCTTATCAGCTATTTGATGGCTTATAATGCTGCTCCTCTCAAGGAGTGGATAGATACCATCCACGAGCATGATCTCTCAGAAACCAAGTATGTATTGTTTGGGAACTTGGGGTTCTTAAAGTGGGTGAATGTAGATACTGCGTTTCTCCCAAGGTACCACTGCAGGGGCTTTGGGAAGAGGTAGAATATTTGACTGTCCTTTATACCAGGTGAGCAGGTCCTCTCACTATCTGCATCTCCTGGATCTGGGGCCCTAAAGTGGAAGCCAATAATCTTCCTGCTAACCATAAGCCTCCCTCTGGAGTACTCTTAATTTCTTTGCCTGATATTTTACACCTTGTGGGTGTTGCAGCATGATTTGATGGGCTGGAAAATGAGTTCGGGATCCATTACTGTTTTAGTTTTTTGTGTGTATTTTGTGATTTGGGGATCCACAAAACACATCACTCTGTTCTATAACTTGTATTTTATATCCTTTTAGTGTTTATCTTATTGGATCAACCCCAGGACGCTTTCAAGGAAGCCATAAAGATAATTGGGGACATTTTAGGCTTAGAAAGGTAACAGAATTTTTACTATCTCTTTAAATTAATGTATATTTTTCATTTATAATGTATTTTGATGGCAGCTTCATAATTAAAACAATTCTGGGTGAACAGGCTCTTGATAAGTTGTCTGATTATAGTTCAGTAATTTTTAATGTTTTACCTTTAGAGGTATAGGCTGCTCTACATGGCAAAAGTATAAGGACTTCTTTAGTTATTATAGATTTCTCAGTCAGCTGTCGTAGCTTTTGATTTCAGGATATTAACCTACAAATTCAACAAAGAACAAATACTATTTGAGTAAAGGCTATGACTGTGCTATAATGTATCTTATTAAACCAGCGCCTTTTAAGTGTTATTAACAAAAGAGGCCTTTGCTGCTGGTAAAAAATGAACAGAGAAAAGCCTTTAACAAATTAAAACAACAAGCAATTTAAAGGTTACAATTTTCTTCATCTCTGTTTAGGAGACCTATTACTAAAACTAATAAATTCCTGAAGTGGCTTTCTTAAAAGTTTTATCTTTTTTTCTGTGAAGTATTTGTCACGTAAGAATTACCCTTGGTTAATGAAACTGTTTAATTTTCCTTTTTTGAAGTTAGCTGAAGGCAGATAAGATCTTGAAGCTGATGTCTTGATGTCAAGAAGGCATTTAGAGCACACTAGCTAAGTGCATAGCTTAGAGGTAGATTCCCATACCTGGGTTCAAATCCTCACCTGTTTACAAGTCATGTGACCTGCCTCTCCTCAATAAAACAGGCCTAATAACAGTACTTCACTCAAAAAATGACCTAAGGATTAGATGAGCTAGAGAATGCAAGGCACACATTGAGCCTTCAGTGTGCTGGTTGGTGGCTGTCAGCTTGTGGACTGATGGTGGAGATAGGCTACGTACTAACATACAACACATGTTGTGTAGAATCATTCTTCCTGGGGGATCAAGAGCATCTGAGTTTTCAGACCACTTCTCACAAGCTCCTCTGGCGTCACAGCTGCCCTCCAGGGAAGACGGGAATGGTCAGACTTGTTTCACTGATCTGTACATGGAAGCATGGGGCCGTGTCAAGGGCCAGGTAGCTGTTCAGGGGCTCGAGCACCAGAACAGAAACTGGGTCTCGTAGCTTTCAGGTCAGTCCTGTTTCTTACACTGTGCGGTAGTAGAGCAGAAACTGAGAACTAGGCTTTTTGGTAAGCATGATTATAAATATTAATGCCTAAGCAGTGTTAAGAAAAATAATACATGCTAAACCAGCCAATCCATCAGAATAATGTGCTCCATTGGGACAGGAACTACAGCTTATTTTTCTTCAGCCTCTTGGTAGTAAGATAGTACATGTTGAAGTAGATAAATTTTCCAAATATTTCTGGATTGCCTCTGCTGCTCTGCATAAGTATCAAAGCAGGAAATGCAGATCAGGCTTCCTGTAGTACTTCAGGTGTTCAAGTGTTAAAGTATCTTTCAAATGATAAGAGTCAAGATCATACAATAGTTCATATTTTTTAGGTATCAAACAATTACTTCAAGGCAAAAATCTCATTTCATATGACAGGTCAGTGGTTTACCTGACCTACTAAAAGGGATCTTTTAATAAATTTGGTTTTGCTTTAATACAAAACAAAGAATTTTGGAAGAACACTTCTGTCCACCTACTCCATTAAAGTTATTTTTAGTACTTCAGGAATATTTTCCAAAAAAAAGAAAAAGTGGGTATGAAATTGATATCTAATATTTTTAGCATTTTTCTGTTGGCTAGGGGTTCCAAAGGCAGAAAATCTTGTTCTGAGTTGTTAAAGCTTTTCTGTTCACAGCTTCTGAGAGAGCACGCCTCATCCATAACTAAAGGAGAGTCTTGGCCGATAGTAGGTCAGTTTTCAAGCATTGGGTCCATGGGAGCTGATGACTCAAAATGGTTGTGTTCTGAGTTTAAAGAAAGCTTGGTGACGCTGGGGAAGGAGAGCAGGACCCCAGGGAAGAGTGCTGTTCCTCTTCATCTGGTGAGTACTCTTCCTGGAGAAGAATGAGAATCTGTCCTCTTCAGAGAGGTTTTATTCAGGGATTTTTGGATGGAAACAGTATATCAGTACCATTGTGATCAAGAGGCCCTCGTATCCTCTGCTGCTGGGGATAGTACTGTTTCCTGCAGAGCTCATTTCAGCCATGCACCAGCCTGTGACTTTTTTCCATTCCTTTCTCCAGGTTTTCAAGCCAAAGAAAAAAATAATTCGATAAAACATTGCCAGCAGAATTCTGAGCATTATTAGAGACTTCCGAATTAATAATCTTGCATTGAACTCAGTGTTACTTTCGCATTTTTGAGGAAACTTTTTTCATCAAATATGTGTGTATATGCATCCTCTGGTTAATAGAAGTTCAATTTTTCCATACAATGAAACTTCAAGTTTAAAGTACATTTTCGAAGTTTTTAAATAAAATATTTCTGAACTTTTCATTAAAAACATTCCTTTTAAGAAAGTTTCTTTAACATGGTACATTTTGAGTTTTGTATTTTACCCTTTTTAAAAAAATTTTTTTCCTTTATTTTTAGATCTATCCTTCTGTGGAAAATGTGCGGACCAGCTTAGAAGGATATCCAGGTACTTGGTGGAAAATGTCCTGGTTGCATTTATGTGTGTGTATCCTTCATAAATGTCCTGGTAAACTTCATAAAACAACCAATAAAAATGCCATTCCCCTTGAGAAAATAATTGGTTAGAAATTTGGAAACTATTTTCCCTTTAACTGGCTAAGGATCATAGAAATAGGTTCTATTGAGTGGTACTATGTTCCAAAGATGGTTCCATGCTTTGGGACAATTTTAGTACATTATTGAATCCTCACAGTAACACTATGGGGACTTGTTCTCATTCCTACAAGGAAGATGGTCCCTTCTGCCAACAACAGGTTGGTTGTCCATACAAGGTGTCTGGGGAAAAAAACCCACCTTTCCCTGCTGCGTCCTGCTTTTCCAAAGAGATTGACATGCTTTTCTCTGGTCTCTCTGTATTCTCCCTCCTTGTGTCTGTGGCTCTGTGTGATTCTTACAGTTATGAATCCCAGATATATTTAAGGTCCAGAACTACTTTATCTGGGGATGAACCTTTGGTGTTACCTAGCTGATACTTTCTAAGGCACTTCATCTGGAAATGCCAGGATGATTTTGTAAGGAACTTTCAACCTTGTTTGCTGTTTTCCTTATACAGTGCTGGACACTAAACTTCTTTTTGGAATCCAACAGCCCTCTAGATAGCACATTCAAGAGGCAGTAACCAAAAACCCAAACAGGGTTTGCCTCTGGAAAAAGGAAATCTGATTGGCATTTGCTTGTGGCTGGAAGCAGAATGCTCTGAATTAGACTAATTTAGTCCATTTATTGCTTGTCAAACTAGACGTGACACTGCCAGAGAAATTTTGGTAAGGTTTAGAGTGTGTCTGCCCATTTCTTGCTACCTAATGGCAAAGCCAAGATTATTTCACTGAGACCCAGGAACATGGTGATATGTTGGTTGGTTTTGTCTTCTCCTTTCCCCACTTCTGATAAACTGGATTCATTCAAAATATGGTATTTAATGGAGAATAACATGATATTTTCCATAAAACTATTTTGTAACTGGCCCGGAATACGTTTAGTTATTTGCAGTAGAGGATACAGCATGCCTTATTTGATGACTCAGAAATTTAAAGCCCTTTTTGGATAGATTATTTATGGAGAAGTTCCAACATGTGTTTGGAAAGTCACTGGTGAATCTATAATAAAACTTTCCTCCTTTCAAAGATGAACAGAAACTGGCTACTAATCGTGTTTCCACTTGGAACTGTATCTGTTTTCTATGCAGGAATATGGCTTTTAGAATTGCTTTTAAAAAACTGTCTGCTGAACTTTCTTTTTTCCTTTTTAAAGATTTATTTATATATTAGAGACAGCATGAGTGGGAGGTGTAGGGTGGGGGGGTTGAGAGAGAGAGAGAGAGAGAGAATATCTCAGTCACCATTGAGCGTGGAGCCCAAGGCAGGCCTGGATCTCATAACCCTGAGATCATGACTGGAGCTGAAACCAAGAGTTGGACATTTAACCACCTGCACCACCCAGACACCCCTGAACTTTTAATTTTAGTGATGGCTCTATTCCATTTGTAAGAATGTTTATCTAATACAAACTCTGGTTGGAAATATCAGAATGTAAAAGGTAAAGGAAGCAGAAGGACTGAGTTTTCATCTTAGTCTGCTTCCCTAGGTATCCTGCTCTTGAGCAAAAATGGAGATGCTCCAGAGCAAAATAGAGCTAGAATTTCTCAGATGCAAGAGGACTACAGGCCAGAATTCTTTGTGGTTTTTCAAACACTTCAAATCTGTCCTATTATAGATGTTTAAATTACCACTCCTGGGTAATTAAATACCTTTTCTCTTTTCAGATTATAAACACTTAGTATTTAACATGCATCCATAAGCAAGGAAACCCAACTAAGGGAACATACCTAATACACGTATTGACCTTTTCTTTGAAAGAACTATTTCCTAGGAAGTGGTTTTGTTTTTTCAGTGTTTACTGTAGATTCTTAATGAAGGATCCTCAAATTATTTTCTATAATACCTGTTTTCTTCTTTTAAAAGCTGGGGGCTCTCTTCCCTATAGCATCCAGACAGCTGAAAAACAGAATTGGCTCCATTCCTATTTTCAGTAAGTAATTGGATTAGAATGCTGCTATTGCTTCTTTAGGAATAAGAATGTTATTTATGTCTTTTTTTTTTTTTAAAGAACCTTACATAATATAGCTGTATTTTTTTTCATCTACATATGTTAGTGATAGAAATAATTTAAAACAAGGTTTTGAACATTATTTGAAATAGGTTTTTAATACCAAAGAATAAAACAGATCTGTGAAGTTTGTATTTAAATATTGGCATGCAAATGAAAAAAAAGATGATGTTGGGTAGTTTAGAATTTATGTAAGCAGCATTTTTAAAAAACATTACTGACATAGTAGTACACTTTTAAGATATACAAGACAGTGATCCAGCAGCATTTTAGTTCCTGTTTCCAGATTATACTTCTGTCTGCACCTGTACATACTGCATGATTGCAAGTTTGCTGAGGGTGGAATCCACACCACTTTCTCCAGGAAATGGGATCATATTTGATTTGTTATAAGGGTTCAGTGAATAGTTGAATAGGCAGGTGAAAGGAATGTCTTTCATCATCATCGTTCCAGTGTGCCTGTTCTGCGTGTTCTAGGCCAATCCCTGCTTGCTTCAGGCACTTACTACACCTGACCACTGGAAGCAAAGGCAGATTGCATCTTGGTAGCTTACAGGCTAATTCAGCGTGTCACCGTGGGCCTCTCGGGAGGTTATTCCCTACAGGGAACGTTTGAGCTCCTTTCATGATTCATCCAAGTGAATTTATGACTAAAGGAATGATCTGCCTAATTCTGGTCTCAGCATCTTCTCTTGAGGGCCCGGCCTCTTTTTGCAACAAGGATTGTTGCCTCATGATGTCGGTCGGCCCTTATTCCCTACAAAACCTACAAAGTCCTGCAACACGGATGGATGTCAGCCTTGGACTGAAGTGTTTCTGAACTTTCCTTCTGCTTTTAAACTTTAATGGTTATCCTGTTGACATTTTTCCCATCTTGTACTTTGAAAAAACGTTTCCTGAGCCTATACTTGGTGTAACACACTATGGAAGTATAATTCCTCTTTTTAAGGAGTTCACAGTCCACGTAGGAAACAAAACCTGCACATATGCAGCTGAAAGCACAACAGAATTAATAGACAGGAGTATATACATGTCTTCCTGACCAAAATAAAATAAAGGAAGGCTAGATACCAAAAGGTCACAGTGCTTTATTACACTGTTCTCTGCATGGAGATTAATAAAATATCAGAGGTCCTGTCACAGAACTGTGTATCCAGTGTTTTAGGTTATAGGATTTTGCTTTTCGTGAAGCTTTCTAATATTAGGCTTATAACAGATTTATATTTTCTTATTGGTAATGGTTCTTTCCTGTCACTAGCAAATGGATGGCTGACACATCTGGCCGCAGCAATGCTATGCCACATATTAAAACATATATGAGATCCTCTCCAGACTTCAGTCAAATTGCTTGGTTCCTTGTCACAAGGTAAGGTAGGTGTGTGTGTGTGTGTGTGTGTGTGTGTGTGTGTGTGTGTGTGTGATTTTTAAAGATTTATTCATGAGAGACAGAGGGAGAAGCAGGCTTCCTGCAGAGAGCGATGGAGGGACTCAATCCCAGGACCTGGGATCACACCCTGAGCCAAAGGCAGACACTCAGCTGAAGCCACCCAGGTGCTCCCAGTAGTCCTTATATTCTTGATGGGAAGAACTTTTATTAAAATTTGTTTTGAACTGCTCTGAATACTGAATGGGTTTCCAAAAAGTTATTTTCTAAATTGTCCTTTAGTTTTCAAAGTGTATGTATGTGTTGAGCCTTATTTAAAAGGCCCGTGACTTATCTCTTTTTAGTGACTAATCATTGCCTGATTTTGAGTCTTGATATTTATAAGGTTTGCATAACGTTTACATTTACTCCTGTTACTTAATACTTTAGTAGTAGGAATTAGGCAGGTTAACATATGGGGTAAATACAGAACAAAAATGATATGGTAAAATTAGTATTCCTTAATTACTTTTTCAATTTAAAGATTTAGTATATTCAGACTTGTGCAACCATCACTATAATTTCTGAATTTTCATTACCCCCTATAAGAAATGCCTTACCTACTAGGCATTCCTTTGTCTGTATTTATAGCAAGGTAAATTGCTCTTAGTTCCTGACTCCTAATCTGACCAAAAGCTATTAGGCATCTCTGAATGATTTAATAACACAATTGATGTTGTTAGTAATAATTAAGGTACGATAGAATAAGATAATGAACAAACTCTTTAAAAAGCCAATTAGAAACAAAATGAAGTTCCTTCCCTAACTTATGGAAATTAATGGTCACACTTTTCCCCTGGCTCGGGGTAAGGAACTGTGACCTGAACAGGGTTAGTGGTATACATTAGATGCAAAAGTGGGCTTCTGCAAAGCTTTTGAGACACCATAGTATAGTGGAAAGACACATATTTGAGTCCTAAATATTTAAGATGCTCTCCTGTCATTTCCTAGCTCTGTGAACTGATAATGAATCAGTAAGACTAGGTGACTTATCTACCTGCTTGCAATTCTGAAATGCTACTGCTGGAAACATCTGAATAGTGGACCAGTCTTTCATCCCAAGGGCTACTTAATTTGTACGGCTGTTACTTTGTGTTGAATACCTTAAATTTGGCGTTTTTCTCCATCTGGTCTGACAGGATTCTCACACAGTGTAGGTCATGTTCTAGGGCTCTACCCATGATAGTGTCCCCCCCCCCACACACACCCCTTTTTAAACTAGTCAAGGTTCTTCCTGAAATCATGCCACTTTGCATGAATGTTGAGTTGAATTTGAAGGCTATATTTCCAACTTTAGTTAAAAATCCTGATTTTTCTCAAGCAAGATAGAGAAATAAATCCATTACTTGGTAGCTTCATGTTATCCTGCTAGGAAGACTGGTGCTTAGAGAAATGTACCCTTGGTCTCTTTCTACTTCACTAGAAAAGTTGAATTTACTGTTTATTTTGGGGATTGTTTTCCTCAGTAGAGTTAAAAGATGGATGTGTTGCACTAAAGTTGGATATTTATTGATCCTGTTTTAAGAGTATAAAGGGAGGTTGAGATTTAACATCAAGTAATCCTCATCTAAAGGCAAAGTTTTTGTAGTTGCATATAATGAGGACATTTGTTCAGCTCTGGGAATAGAGAGCAAGATGTGACCAATGCCACAGGCTGCAGAAGAGATGGGATGCTATATACTAGTTTACCTGTGTTAGGACCTAGTGGAAGCACCCTTAGAAATGTATTATCCGGTTGGGGTGGGGTCGGGGTAGGTCAGAAGCCAGCTAGAGCTAAGGCAGTGGTATTTCATGTAGGCCTGGAAATACACCTAAGAGTAAACCAGATAGATTAGAAGGGGAATCTAAGCAGAGGAAGGGGGCACAGAGGCCATGGAGACAGAAAAATACATGGGGCTTTCAGGGAACATCTGAGTGAGTCTGCAGCTGGATGAAAGAAGACACTGACACACCTTCAGAATGGACTTTGACAAGCTAGGGCATCATAGGTTCTGAAGTCCAGAAAGCATCCGCTGTCCATTTTTTATTGAATGTTTGTCTATTTTATATGCTATGAATGACTGTTTTCATATTGGCTGAATATTACTCAATTCTGACTGGAAGTTAATCTGATAAGCATTTGAAATTTGTCATGGATTTATAGCTTCTAATTGTATTCTGGAATATATAGGCTAAAAACTGTCAACTTATTACCAAAATGTATAAAGATTTAGAACAACTATTTGGTGAATTCAATGTGCCAGACACTGTCCTGAGCACTTTTCATGTTCATTTAATTTTCACAACTGGTCCTCAAGGACTCGGAGAATGGTTAGCTAGGCTGCCCATGGTCACTCAGTAAGTGGTGGAAGCAGGATTTGAACCCAAGGGATTTGACTCCACAGCTGGCACCCTTCACCTCAACTCTGATGCCTCTTCTTATCTCTGATGGTGTACCTATTTCCTATGAAGACCAGTTAAGTCAAAAGAAACTGCATCACACTTTGTGATATTTAAAAAAAAAAAGGGATCTGTGGGTGAGTCAGCGGTTTAGCACCAGCCTTCCACCCAGGACATGATCCTGGAGTCCCAGGATCGAGTTCCACATCGGGCTCCCTGAATGGAACCTGCTTCTGTCTCTGCGTGTCTGTGTCTGTCTGTCTGTCTCTCTCTCATGAATAAATCCTTAAAAAAAAAAAAATAGCATCCCAGTATTAAAGAATGTGTGACATAACTGAAGTAACAATTTAGAAAATCTACCAGGAACTCCTTTGTTGTTCAGAGTCAGAACATCCCAAGCTGAGCTCTTAACCTTCAAAGAGATTTCCTTCCCCTCTTTGGCCCTGGTGGCAACTGTCCACTCTTATCGTCAGGCTTGCAGCCCAGCTATCTTCTTGCTATTCCTTCCTTTGGGCACTCTGCAGCATTTACTGAGGTCCTTCCTCTTGTGAATGCTGGACGCTTGGGATAAAAATGTAAGACTTAGGGGATCCCTGGGTGGCGCAGCGGTTTGGCGCCTGCCTTTGGCCCAGAGCGTGATCCTGGAGACCCGGGATTGAATCCCACGTCGGGCTCCCGGTGCATGGAGCCTGCTTCTCCCTCTGCCTATGTCTCTGCCTCCCTCTCTCTGTGTGACTATCATAAATAAAATAAATTAAAAAAAAAAAAAGTAAGACTTAGGTATTACCTATAAAATGTTTATCTCTGATGTCAGAAGCCAACGCAGAAGTAATTAAAATAGGAAGAGATCGATTCTGTGCTTGAGGTGGGCATGTGGGTGCTTTGGATAGGACTATCAAAGCCTGTTCATCCTTAAAATGTCTCAGACTTGACTTTTCTGATCTCTGAAACTACCAAGGCAGATGCTCACCATCTTGTGAAGTGATTGCTTATCTGCCATTTCATCGCGTAATTGGTCTACTTCCCAGGCTGCCTCTCCTTTCCTAGTTGTCGATGACCATTCATCTTTCAGAAACAAGAATTTTTCTCATTGTCCCATGTTCCGATTCCCTCCCCCACTTCCTATAGGCTAAAAATTTGGAGTTGTCCTTGGCATTGTGACCCTGGCCATATCACTTTCACCATTCTTATCCTGTGTTCCCCAACATGAACTACCAGGAGCAGCCAACCTGGCCTCCTCTGCCCCAGTAATCAGCCTGCCAGCAGCCCTTTCCTGATCCCTTTGTCTCTTCTCTCTACCTTACCAACTGCTGCCTGTCTCATAGGAATTGCCTCAGGTATGGCCTCCTCTCTGGAAGATTGTCAGCTTCCTGCTGACTGCTCTCTCCTCCAAAGCCTTAGAGCACTAAGGTGCGTCCCACCATTGGAGCTTGGGGCTCCTGTATCATTGTTTTGTCTCTTCTAGAGAAGTGTCTTTGAGGCATCTGGATCTGGACTTTCGATTGCTTATCTGCACAACAGTTATAAGGATGAGGTGCCACATTCAGTGGGACACAGTCCATGTGGCATGCAAGAACGTGAGTAAAGCCACTTGGAGCTCAAGACTATATTTTTCACTAAATGCTTGAGAGCATGAAACACGTCCCCAGCAGCAAGACTTTGTTCATGTTGACGCCCATGTCAGGCACTGTTTATGCCACGGGGAACAGGAGCGACAGGGAACCTACCCTAACAGCTTTCATTTTAGCTACGGCAGAGTGGGAAGGACAGACCGTGTACAAATGAGTCAGCATAAACACAAGATAAGGGCTAGAAACAGCAAAACGGGGTGATGTTAGAGCATGTCTGGAGAGAACAGTGAAGCCCTGCTTCAGGAAGTAATGTTTGGGTTGAGTTGATCTAAAAGGTGGGGAAGGCCCTCAGTTGTAGAATATGGAGAACATAGAGAGTGGTCTAGCGTGGCTATACGCGGGCCATGCTGGATCATAGAGGGCCTTGAAGGCCAGAGTAAGAGTTTTATCCTAGTGCTGTGGAAACCATTTGAGAGTGGAGCACCATCTGGTACAGATCTTTTAAAGATAGCCTAGGCTGCTGCATGGAGAGTAGATGTGTACAGGCCAGCTGGGAAGCATGGAGGGAGTATGGTTGCTTAGGTAGCAGGTGAGTTTGCAGGAGAAGAGTGGTGGACACGGGCTATGAATGGGGTGGGAGGGGAGACCCATCTGTATGGAACATGCCCCCAAGATCTCTCTTGAAGAAAGGCATTCAGGATTGTAGGAAGAACATGAGTTTGGAATTAAACAGGCCCAAATCCGAATTTTAGTTCATCGATTTAATATTTGTGAACTAATAAACCTCACCAAGCACTAATTTCCTTCTCTAATGAAAGTGGGATATGACCTTTAACTACAGGTTTTGTTCAGAGGCTTGAAACAAGTTACATAGAACCATTGTCATCAGAAGAATGGTACGTGTTCAACAAGTGACCCTTATCTTCCCAATTTGAGCTTAATTTTGAATATAAGTAATGATACTTGTAGTATTTCATTGTAAGTACACAAAAC